TTTTTATATAAAAAATACAGTGGAGAAAATTGTTTACAGTCCATTCAGAGAGAGAGAGAGAGAGAGAGAGAGAGAGCGCATTTATTGAATGTTATTTGTTACAAATTATTAACCCATGTCTGATAAATATCACCCTCCCCCCCACACACAAAGAAATTATATTAATGTTAAAATATGAAAGGATAAAGTCAAAATGTGCTAAAAATGAATAGGACAAGAAGTAATGGGCTTAAATTGCAGCAAGGGCGGTTTAGGATGGACATTGGAAAAACTTCTTAACTGTCAGGGTAGTTAAGCCCTGGAATAAATTGTCTAGGGCAGCTGTGGATTCTCTGTCATTAGAGTTTTTTAAGAGCAGATTAGACAAATACCTGTCAGGGATGGAATCGACAATACTTAGTCCTGCCTTGAGTGCAGTGGACTGGACTAGAAGACTTCTCGAGGTCCCTTCCAGTCTTTGATTCTCAGATCTACTCTTGAAGTAAATGGAGTCTGACTTTCTATCCAGATTTAGAGATTTAACATGAAACACCATTTTAAAGACTAATGTTTAGAGTAGTTCTTTGCGCCAAATGTATAATCTATAGCACCGTACTTTCTCTCCTTTTCCTTCAGGACCAGTATGACTCCAAACGTTGTCTTCAAAACACAATTTCAACATTTCGGTAAAATCCGTTTGAATAAATGTTATTGTCCAGCAGAGGACGCTGTTTGGTTACGGATGCAATTTTCTCTGTTTATATGCAATGACTGATACAATTGAGTGTACTTTGAAATCCCCTTCCAGACATTATTTTATTTTAGGCTCATTAGTGTGAAATTCCATTTTAAATAGCATAGCCTGACTCTGAAAACTTCACTGACAGCATAAATTCCTGCTCAGCTGTATTAAGCAAAACACTCAAGTTTAAATTCCAGAGACGCGTTGTGTCTTTTGACTGGTTGCTACCTGTATTTTACAACATAATGGTATCTTTGGGGTAATATAACTGCTATCCCTGGGGGCTCTCATGAAAATGAGATGTACATCTCATGAGGCTGTTTCTGTGACTGCACCCCCTCCAAAATAAATAAGAATATGCTACAAATAATCATACTTAGCAGTTTTTATTTTCAAAAGAACTAAACAAACATTAACAAATTGGTCCTCATACCACCATAGGAGGTGAATATTTTTTTATCTCCATGTCACAGATTGGGGGAAAGTGAGGGAGAGAGGTTAAGGGACTTGCTCACGACCACAACGGGAGTCATTGTCATAGTCAAATTTTGAAGGGAAGGAATATCAGGTTCCCAGTTCTCTGCTCATGCCACTAATGCCATGCCTTCTCTCATAATTACTCAAAGATGATTCTAAGAAGTGTCTTGAGACTCAAAGACTACAGCAGATTAGGGTCTTCCAAAGATTTGCCACAAGAAACACATTTTCAACATGACACATGCATTTCTTTGCTGCGGAAGATGCCAGTACATCATTTGTTCCCTTCTGAACCAGTCAGATCATACAGATCCAGACCGACTCAGCCCATGTCTTACATTTTCAAATTGGCATGAGCTGAGGGTGAAATTTCATCCCGTGTAGCAGGCCAACACAGAGCACCACTTCTTGTGCTGGCCCCTCTCTGTCCAAGGGTGAAGTGTACCCTAAGTTAGCATCTTAACACCCATTAATATAAATGAGAGTTGAAAGACTACAGGCACCACTTTGGAAATGTAGGGTTAAGTGTCCAATAGAGAGGTGAAGTAGAAAAAGAGCAGTTGGGAAATCAGTAGATGGCCATAATCAGTGGCAGATGGGATGGTCTTGTGGCTTAGGGATAGGAGTGGGAGTTAAGAGGTATAGATTTGATATTCAGCTTTTTGTGCCTCGGTTTCCCTATTTGTAAAATGCGGATAATAATGTATCTTTTCACACAAGTCTTAGTTACTAATATGCAAGGAACTTGAAGATCATTGGATGGAAGGTGCTATTGAAATACAAGTTATTTTTATAGCATTAGAAAGGTAGTAACGACAGCTTTAAAAATAAGAAAATAATAATTTTTAACAAAAAAATTATAATTAAATTTAAAAAAATCTCCTAAATAATTTAGGCTAGAACCTATGGGAGTTAGAGGCTCAAATCCCATTAAAATTCCATAAGAGCTAGGCATCTAAATTCCTTCATCATCTTTAAAAATTTCAGCTCCAAATCTAGAGCAGGATTAGGAAGAGTGGGCTCTTGCCCACCTTATGAGTATTATTGTACTTGGAAAGCCCGGTCTCCAGACCTGTGTTTATAATTAGCTATTACTGAATTAGTTTCAGTAACCTCTGTGGATTATTTATTTAATTGTACATAGCACTGACATATGAGAAATAGCATAGCCCAGCAACACATGTACCTGGGCTACTTAAGGTAGTAGTTGGAGGTCTTTTACTTGCGGGGAAAAATTAATTTGATTTTTTCCCACCTGACACACTTTGAAAATCATGTCTGACTAGCTCTTGGAATGCACCAGGAAATTCTTTGTATATGCTGAGAAGTATTAGTTTCCTCAGGTATGTTGCTGATATGCAGTACTGTATATGAATGAGAAAGTTTGAATTAAAATTGCCATTTCTGTGATGCCAGTGACTGTCTTGTTGAAAAGTATCATTAGCAGTTTGGAGGCCAAATGTAAGAGACTGCAAAGCTATTTGAATCCTGGCATTCGATGGTGGTAAGGGCTGGTTGAAAATTTTCCACTGAAATTCGTTTTTGTTGTAAAACTGCATTTTCAACCAAAGAAAAATGTTCATGAAAAGGGTCTGCTTTCTCGTTGGAAAACTGAAAATCCACACATCACATTTTTTTTTGGCCAAAAACTGAAAAAGGTTTAGTTTTCAGCAGATTTTTTTTTTCAGTTTTTGGCAGGTTTCAGCCAAACACTTTCAGGTTTCCTGTGAATGTTTACTGTTTGTGGTTGTTGAAAACTGAAAAGTGTTCTTTTTTTTGATGAAACATTGAAGTTTTCCATTGAAAAAGCCCATTTTCCGACCAACTCTAAAGATGGCAAAACAATCAAAAAAAGATTTTGCTAGTACACATTATACATTTTCGATCAAACTCTGCTCTCGGATATATAGTTATTGCACTTTAAAAAATAAGAAGCTGCTTCTCAGCCTTATTGTGCACCACTCCTTGCCTAAGCCCCAGCAATTCCCAGCTCTCAGAACAAACCCCTGGAGTCTTGGGCAGCCTAGTGCAAGGTTAAACTTAGGTTGGAAGCCAGGCAAGGCCCAGATTGTCCCCAAGCTTGTGGCAAAAGGGTAGTTGAAAGCTACTATTGCCTCCCACTCACTTGGTCCTGTACCAAGCACAGCGCTGCCAAGTAAGAGAATATGGCCCTAATTATATTTATTTAATTCGATAAATACCTACATCAAAAAAAAATAATTTACACAGGGTAATAATATGAGCTTATGTACACATTTTATATTCTTGAACTCTGCAATTATTTGTATTTATATTGAAAATGATACATGATGAAAAGTAATATAGGTCCAGATTTTCATATTAAGACACAATTGCACACCTGATTTATGTACACACATTTTATTAACTAGAATTTATTATTATTTGCTAAGTGCCAACAATGTGCTTATCACTGGACAGACACAAAACTCTTTGAGGAGTTTACAGTATACAAGATAGAGACAGATAAAATGAATATGGAGACCCCAAGAAGAGTGTTAGCTTAGAATATTAAGTGTTTTCTTCCTCAGAATGTTATTTTTTAAAATTAGACAGAAAACTTCCTAATCAGTAATTTTTGCATAAAATTCCTCAAATTGGATGTGCAGTAGCAATCATCACATCAGATGCACAAATTAGACATGCAGTCAAGCAACTAACATGTATGAAAATGTGGTCAATTACAGGTAACTTGCATTAAACAGTTTTGTAGTGTTCCTATACACTTGAAAACAGCTGCCACAACACTCTCCAGAGGTGGTTGCCTATGTGTGCAAGGTGAAGTGATTCTTGTATATCTCTTTGAGAATCTCTGGGATGAAAAGCATAATATAAATGTCACTTATCATTTTCATGTTATTTGACAAGCCTTTTAATGCTAGAAAGAGACTCCACATTGTAGACAAAGTGCATAACTGATGAAAGTAGAAGGACTATGAAGATTGACCATCACCTGTCATCATGTTTATTACACACTATTTGTATTACATTAGCACTCAGAGACCCTAGTCAGTATCCAGGCTTCACTGTACAATGCATTGTATAAACGCATAATCAGAGCCAATCCCTGCCCACAAAAGCTTCACAATGTAATTATGAACTTACAAACCACCACACAACTAAGACCATACGGACATGTCAAGCAACAGTAAGAAGCAGGCATCAGTACAGCAGTTCAACATGACATGAGTTTTGATCTGCTCACGCGTTGCATGGATTCGGGCTACAGTTGATAAACTTATCTTGAAGTAAGACAGAAGTTAGGCTGCTGAAATTCCTACCATTTCCCTGACATTATACAGCTGAGAGTCAAGAACTGTCAAATTACATGAGTAATATCTATCCATATTTAAAAGAGCAAACTGTTGACAATTGCCTCTCATTCCTCTTTTCAGTGTATGAGCTCCATGGAATGGTTAGGAATGATCAAACTGAAGATGAGGCAAAGCTATGGCCACATAATCATAATCCAGACAAGGAGCTCAACACTGTCTACAATGACAGGTTTCAGAGTAGCAGCCGTGTTAGTCTGTATCCGCAAAAAGAAGAACAGGAGTACTTGTGGCACCTTAGAGACTAACAAATTTATTAGAGCATAAGCTTTCGTGGACTACAGCCCACTTCCGAAAGCTTATGCTC